CCCCTTCCTCTGAGCAAATGACCTGTCTCTTCTGGGTGGAATGCAGGTTTTCTATCCAGAGTCCATGGTTGGGACTCAAAGGTTGGGAAACTGAAATTATATGTAAGAATCTGTGTAATGTGCATTTTTAAGAGGTGAAACATCCAGAGTGTTCATCATATTCTCAACACACCCAAAGGTTAGAAAAACCTTGATTTCAGCAAATTGAGGATGCCAGGAATAATCTCCCTTATTCTTCTGAACTTTACCTAAAACCTATTGATACCCGTAACTGCCCTCATTTCCTTCTCTCTACTTTCAGAGGATGTGGACCTCTCTTCCTGTTTCTCTAAGGCCAATCACTATTCATCATCCTTTAACTCCCCCCTTTCAGCGAGATTATTTTCTCTTAGCTCCCCATTTCTCCCTTCCACCGTCTTTCCTTTCAAACTGGTCGCTCTCAATCCCAAACACACATAACAGCACCACCACCCAAGCCCCTGTGTTGCTGTCTGTTTTGCTCTCAGCTCAACCTTGGTAGATCCTGCTGTCTCCTTTGTGATCTCCTGGTGTCCTGTGTGCATGTCTGTCCTGAACTTGCTGAGCTGCATTATCACAGCTATTTCTCTGTATCTGTCTCTCCCTTTAGGCTGTGAAGTTGAGGACCACATCTTAATCATTTCTGCATCCCTAGACCAGGGGCTCAAACATTGTGGGAGCTCAATAAATATTTGTACACAGGACTTAATTTAGTTCTCCTTCTGTAGACTTCCTTCTTCTCTATTGAGTTCTTTCCTTGAGGTATAGAAACTAGAACAGGAAGCAGTACAACTTTTTCTTGTATTTCTTTTCTCTCTTATATTATCCAACACTCTACTAGCTTTTGGGGGCTACAGCTACACATTGAGTTGGTCTGAATGACTCCTGAACCCTTTTCTGCCTTGTAACTAAGAACTCAAAGCTCATTAGTAAGTATAATTTGTATTATCATCGCCTAAATTAATGGCATTACTACCCACACTGAACCTTAACTGCTTGTGAGGCAGTACAAACAAAGCTCATTTAGAAATAGTTACCTATGTGAGGAAAAATATTCTACCTTTTTTCTCTTTAGAAAGATACATTTACACATGATCTAATTGCCATGTATAGGAGGCCAGCAGTACTATGGCAACATATCTGATTGCTAATTTTAAACAACAATTTATTAATGAACTACCTTCACTTGACAACACTTCTCTTTTAAAAAATCCATTTCTAAGTACTCCATATCAGGCCTTTTACTGATTGTAGTGTTTTTTTGTTTTTTCAAATTTTTGCCTGCCCAGAATATATTTTCTTTTGGTAACGATCCCTCCAGTTTCTCCTAGGGAACCATTATGCATGGAGGCCAGAACCCTCAGAGCATCTGACAAATCTACTGGCCACCATGTCCTCAACCAATGACGAGTGCTGATGAGAAGTTGCTAACACTAGGCCTCATCTTTGGCTTGATGAAGCGAAGGCGAATTTGCTTCCTGTCTTGTTACATTAGTTTCCTAGGGTTGCCGCAAAAAAAAACTACCACAAACTTGGTAACTTAGAATTTATCTCTCACAGTTGTGGAGGCTGGAAGTATGAAATCGAAGTGTCAGAAGGCTCTAGGGGAGAATCCTTCTTTGTCTCTTCCAGCTTCTACTAGCTTGTAGAGTGCCTTGGCTTGTGGCAACAAAACTTCAATCTCTGTCTCCATCTTCCCGTGGCCTTCTTCTCGGTGTGTCTTTGTGTCTTAAATCTCCCTTTCCTTTCTCTTGTAGGGATACCAGTCACTGGATGTAGGGTCCAACTCAAATCCAGGATGATCTCATCCTGAGATCCTTCATTTAGTTATATCTGCAAAGATCCTTCTTCCAAATAAGGTCACATTCTGAGGTTCCGGGTGGACATGCCTTTTGGGGCCACTATCCAGCCCATGACACTTGCCTCTGGCACTCCTCCAGATCCAGCTCTGCAGATGCTCAAGAGGTAAATCTGAGAATCTCCTACTCCCCTTCCTGTTTCCTCCTACTTTCGTGATTTGGGAATGTGTGGCCCCAACTTTGGCTAACACCTCTCGAGGGCTGCCTCAGATATTGGACGCCTTCTATCAAGATACATGATAAACTGGCAATGGCAGGTAGGCTTCCTCGCTATTGCTTGGGTTGAAGCTGGCAATCCTTTATGTATTTTTTCATTTCCTTCTCTTCTTTTTTCTTGTCTTGTTTGTAAATGGAAAGGCTAAGTAAACCATCTTGAGTTGTGTTGTGATTTATACATGGCAGCAGAACGTGGTGAATAAACTATGACAGCCTCATTTCTTTTTTTTTTTTTTTTTTCAGTACGCGGGCCTCTACACCGCCGTGGCCTCTCCCGCCATGGAGCACAGGCTCCGGACGCGCAGGCTCAGCGGCCATGGCTCACGGGCCTAGCCGCTCCGCAGCATGTGGGATCCTCCCGACCAGGGCACGAACCCGCGTCCCCTGCATTGGCTGGCGGACGCCCAACCACTGTGCCACCAGGGAAGCCCCTCATTTCTTACCTACTTTGTGCTAAATGTACTTCTTGATGTCAGAGGATTTCACGGAACCAAATAAGCAGGGGACAAGCAGTGCTGTCTTACTGGGCAGAACCTACCGACACTAAGTCATCTCTAAAGCAGGTCAATGTGTGCTTGTTCCCTCCCCAAACCTCCCACACAAAGATTCATAACCAGGAGAACTGGTAGAAGCTACCTAATGAAAAGGAGATTCACAAAAAAGAAAAAAAAAACAAGCCAAAAAGGGAATTTCCTGGTGGTCCAGTGGTTAGGACTTTGCACCCTCACTGCCGAGGGCCTGGGTTTGATCCCTGGTTGGGGAACAAAGATTCCACAAGCCGTGCAGCATGGCCAAAAACAAAGGGGGCGGGGTGTTCACAAAGGTGAACCTGGGGTGAATAGACAGGTAGATGGGTTATATCCCATTTTTGTAAACAAAACACTGGTATTCTCATTAACAAATTGGTGGGAATAAAACATGAGATGGGGGCTATTGCAAGCATCAGATGTTTTGTCCTTTGTAGCACGTTACCTTGTTTCCAGTTACAGCACTTTCACTTTCTTTTAGGGAGCTACCCTCCCAAGTTCTCAGCCTGTGTGGTTTAGATCAGGTTTAACCCACGCTTTGGCTTCAAAGGTAGAGATGTGAACCAGCCTGGGCTATTGGGTGACCTCCTGACCATATGATTGATTCAGGGGCAAACAAGTGACCAAAGCTGGTCCCTAGAGCCAGTTAGCCTTAGTCCTTGGGCATTATTGGCTGGAACTAGTGGGAAAGAGAGGCCTTCTTTTCAGTGGTTGCTAAGCTGGTAGGATGTCAGTTTAGAGGGGCTGCTATCTTTGCCTGTCGCCACCTGGGAAGCCCACCTAAAGATGAAGTCCACACAAAGGAAGCAGGCTGGGGGACAGGGACAGAATCCTGGTGACATGAACTGGGCATCCACATCCATTTGTACCTCAAGCCAGGGTTATCTTTTTTTGCTTAAGCCAGTTTGAGTTAGGTTTCTACCACTTGCTGCCAAGAGTCCTGATAAATAGAGGAATTTTCTGAGGTCGTAAGAAATGAGTGGGTCTGTTACCCACGGGTCTACAATAATGATAACCAGCATTTATTGCTGGATTTTGTGCTAATTGCTTAAGTGTGTCATCTCATGTAAACCTCATAACACCCTATGAGGTATCAGTGCCCCCATTTTAAGACAAATTACAGCAGAGATAGGTTAAGAAACTTTCTCAAGTTTACACAGCTAGTGGCAGTGCCAGGATTTGATCCCAAGATGCTGTCTCCAAAATTTCCGCTCTTAACTAGCAGAGTATAACTCCCTGATGTTACTCAGAGCTCTTAGTTGTAAACAAAATAATATACCTGGCCAGTTTAAGCAGGTCTGGAAGCTATATAACCAGGGATATGTCCAACCTCACTGCAATGCTCCAGTGTTACCACCGTTCCATACCACATCACAGGCCTCCAACATGGTGGATCACAACAGTGATGCTTGGGACTGGGTACCAGAAATGCCACCTCTGCTGCTGTTGAAAATCTAGCCACCTCCACCACAAGATGATTCTGGGAATGTCTGCTTCTTTACTTTTCTCTCCTTGGAATCCCAGTCCTATGTGGGTACATCTGATTGGCTGAGCCCATGCCACATACTTGTGCTCTATCAGCAAGGGAAGCTGGGAAATGAGTTTTCCCTTCTGTTCTTTGAATCAAGAGGCTCAGTGGCCACAGCATAACAGCAATCTGACTTTTTTGATTCTAGAAATCTTAATATGCCACGTTTGGACCAAACCAAGTTTGGTTCTTACACTTCGGAGTGCATCAGAATTACCTGGGGAGCTCGCCAAAAACAGATGCCTGAGCCCACCAAAACCTACAGACAGAATCAAAATCTCTGATAATGAGGCGAGGGCATCTATATTTTTAATAAGCTCTCAGGGGATTCTGATGAACACTGAAGTTTCAAAAACATTGACCTAGAGGGTTTTGTTGTCTAAATTGGTCCATACCATGTCTGTTCAACTATCACCCTCATCCCTCTAAACCTAGGGATTACTCAGTTCTGATAAATGCTGAACTAAAGATGCAGTCCTTCTGCGTATTGATATGCACTAATTAGAAAGAATATAAGGACTTCCCTCGTGGCGCAGTGGTTAAGAATCTGCCTGCCAATGCAGGGGACACGGGTTAGATCCCTAGTCCAGGAAGATCCCACATGCCACAGAGCAACTAAGCCCATGTGCCACAACTACTGAGCCTGCACTCTAGAGCCCGCGAGCTACAACTACTGAGCCTGTGTGCCACAACTACTGAAGCCCACATGCCTAGAGCTCACGCACCGCAACGAAGAGTAGCCCCTGCTCGCCACAACTAGAGAAAGCCTGCACGCAGCCATAAAGGCCCAACGCAGCCAAAAATTTAAAAATAAATAAATTTATTTTAGAAAAAGAATATAAATGTGATTTTTTTAAAAGCTCTTTATGATTAGATGGTAAACGGAAATGCTCTGAATCCATCTTTTCATGTTTTCTTAGAAGGACCACAGTATTATGAATGGGTCAACTGACATCTTATACGTTGATAGGGTGAGTCCTAATCTTGTCTTTATTGACAAACCAGTTTGACTGGCAAACATTTTTAACTCTAAGAGTCTCAGTTTCCAAGTATGACAATTTTATTAACCAGTGCACAAGGCTGTTGGGAAAAAAAGACATTTAAAAGACCATAACGTGTCCAGTTAAAATGAAGACTGAAAATTGGGTACAATTTCTAGATTGATTTTTCTGGCCAGTGTCAAATTAATTATGTCTGTACCTGTTGTAAAAAGTAGCAACCTCAGGTTAATAAACTGCTTTCTTTAAATGTATAGTGCGGATGAGGTATTACAGTATTATGTATTCTTAGGGGAGCAAGATGTGTTGCTTTCAGCATTACTCAAAAAGATAAAAATCATCCTAAGTTATATTCATAGGCAACTCCATTTCTTCCTTTCTGTCCAGTGATAAAAGGAGCAAGTTTATTTTTACCTCAGAGCACTGATTATGTAAAGAGAAAACTTTAGGACAAAATACCTGATCATAGGTCTGTTCAGCCAACATTAACCCATCCTAAGGAAACCAAATGGAAGTTCTATAAAGGGCTGCACAGTGGAAAGGAGGTGATCAGAGAGACTTGAAAATGAGCTTCGAAATGCTTTTCAATATTCTAGCGTAGGTTCTGGACATTTTTCAGTCTTAATACAATCACGTACCTTTGCTGTTTGCCATTATCTATAGTCATCTTTTATTAGCAAATGCAGAAACTGATATCTAAAAGTGTATTTGCTAGCTTAGTTCAAATAATACCTTAGCTGCCAAAGCAGTTACCTAAGACTTTAAAATACTTCAGTAACATTCACTGATTAATTCCCCCAAGGAAAACAGTCACAAGGCACCCACTATGAAGTTCATCTTTAGCATCCCATTGAGCCCCCTAACCCTTACAATGTTCTGTATTTCCAGGGCATTCAGTGATATCACAGGGACCCAGGCAGCCAGGGACAAGGATCTTATAACCTAACTATTGCTCCCAGGGACTCTCCCATTTTAAAAGGCGCCCAAGAGAAGGCAAAGTCTAATGAAATTAGACTGAATTACCACTGACAGTATAATCTTAAACCCTGTAGCACCTGGCTGGTAAAAAATGTTTCAAGAATGAAAACTTTTAAGCATCAATTCACTCAAGAGAAATGATAATCCACTCCTCATAATGCAAGTATTATCAGTACTGGTGATTATAGCCATGTAACATAAAATGACTATGTATTTAAGAATATTTAATATAGGAAAGTGGAACACATCAACAAGGGAGAGGGGAGTGTTTAGAGGAACATATATGATAGGTGCGGTGATTCTCAAACTTGAGCTGACAAACAATAACAGGGGATAATTGTTAAAAATGGAGATTTCCTGACTGTAACCTCAAAGATCCCCATTCAACAGGGGTGGGTTTGGGAATCTGCATCTAAACAAGCTCCCCAGGTGATTCTGATGGAGGTGGTTCAAGGCTCTCAAATTAAGAAACAGGTCTACTGTATTCTCCAGTTCCCAAATGAAAAGGTTCTGCCATGTCCTGGAATTCTAAAGATTAATTGCTATCAATTAATTAATTAACTGATTGATATCAATCGATATCTATTGAATTCATCTGGTGTTATTTAGCTCTTAAAAAGGCTGTATATAATCCTCAATAATTAGGCCTAAGAGGAGGAAATGAACAATCATTTATAACAAATTCTGAAAAAAAAAAAAACGCTAACAGCTCTACTTAAATAATTGCAGGTTTGGTGATAAAGTATAGGCAGGAGTTCAATGTACTAATATTCTGATAACTGATGACCGTTATTAGTGAGGATTCATACAGGTTTTCAGAGCAAGGCCCTAAGGTATGAATTCAGATATGTTTAGGAAATTCTGGAAGGCCAGTAAGGTAGATCTTTGATGTTAGGATGCATCAGGCCAACTCCTGTGTGATGTTTATGATTGACCAAGAGCCAGTCTCCTCTGGGAGGCTCCTTTTACCTTATAAAGCTGGGTTAATTGCAGTTACATGGGCTTCCTCGTATCTGCTGGCACAGGGACCAACCCTACGCGTATTTCTCACTGTACACCGCCCACACTGGTGCGATTCTTCAACCACCAAAGAACGAATGCTTCAGGGTTTTTGCATACGTGGTCTGCAAGCACCTTTTGGCAGGAAAGGGCTGGTTGCAGGAAAGGGGTCTCTGCAGGAGGCCCCTTTTGTCTTATCACTTACCTTAAACCCAGCAGCCCCATGCTCTACTCAACTCGGGTCCCAGCACACCTTTCAATTTTTTGATCACACAATACCTTGCCTAACCTGTTCTTTCCATGGATCAAAGTAGAAATGAAGAAAACATAATTAACAGATGATCAGATCTCTTCCCTAGCTTCCCCTTTAGTAATCTCACGAACAAACCGTGTGAAGCCAACTGTGCGAACAAGACAGCATCTATAAGCCTGCACGATGAGCCTGCACAGAGCGGGATAGGGACGACTCTGATCCCCCCATCTCAATGATTGAGGTTACTTCCCTTTCTCCGTTTAAAAACTTTCCTGAGCAGAATCTTTGGAGGTGGTTTTAGGGGGACACTGAGTCCACAATCTCCCCAGATCGCCAGCGTTCTGATTAAAAAAGCAGCTTTCCTTTCTCGCGACATTTGCCTCTCTCTCGAGTTATTGACTGAGCAGCGAGCAGCCAGACCTGACTTGGTAACAAGTCATTTTTCAAACTGCTAGTTTGTCATTTTTTTAGGTTTCAGCTTAAATAACATCTCTTCAGATAGATTTTCCTTATCACCTTACTCAGGTAGGATTTCCATCCTCAATTACCTGTTGGATTGTCCCATTACCCTGTTTTCTTTATAACACTAACCACAGTTTGTGGCGTCCCCCCCAGTTTTACGGAGAATTGACATACATCACTGTATGAGTTTACGGTGGACAGCACAATGGTTTGATTTGAGCTAACATCCATCTTCTCATATAGACACAAAAAGAAAAAAAAATTTCTCCTTGTGATGCGCATTCTTAGGATTTACTCTCTTAACTTCCCTATACACCATACAGCAGTATTAGCTATAGTCATCATGATATACACTTACTTGATCTTTTTTACTGAGATCTTCTGCTCTCCCACGTCTCACGAGGCAGGGAATCTGCGTTACTTACCTGTGAACACTCTGTAGTGACTAGCACAGAACCTCCTCTCATGGACGAGGGCTACGAATGTCTGGTTCACCACTGTGTTCTTAGCACCTAGGACACACCCGGGTATTTAACAAATGTTTACTGAATGAACAAACATATTATCTCCTTAAGAAATACTTATTATAGGGAACTGATCTGAAAACTCAAGGGCTTTCTTTCCTTGGATCCTGTATGTCCAGATTCCTATCATTTAATGCTTAGCTTTTGTATTGCAAAGTATCTCTTTGGTCACTTCCCCAGTTAAGGAAGAGAGAAATATTCTGTAATAACCTAAATGGGAAAAGAATTTGAAAAAGAACAGATATATGTATATGTATAACTGAATCACTTTGCTGTACACCTGAAACTAACACAACATTGTTACTCAACTATACTCTAATATAAAATAAAAATTTTTAAAAAATAAAGAGAGAAATCCCAAGTCCTGTCTCCTTAGTAATTCGGTTTCTAACTCTGATCCTATATAACACAAAATTGGGACTTAAAAAAAAAAAGAGGTTCATTTCCCCTGGAATTATAAAAGAATACATGCTTCCTGAAAGAATTCGAGAAGTAGAAAAACGGAAAAAAAACAAACAAACCCAAAACAAAAAAACGTAAAATCTCACAATCAACCAATCCAGAAAAAACCCACCAACTGTCAAATAAAAATGGAATATTGGTTACAAATCCAGTGCCAGCCCCTCTTGTGCCACGGTGCTCTTAAGAGCATTTCCAATTTGTCTGTCTTGTGTTTCTAAATAGTTTATATTTGTAGTTATACTGGGGTAATGAAAATCTGGCAAGTGAGTTGGAGTGAAAGGCTTTTTTTTAACCCACAACAGCCCACAATGATCTGGTTGGTTAGAATAAATCTTTACAGGATATTCTCTTTATGCACATTGCCTGCTTCAGATAAGCTAATAATATTAAAAGAAACAAAACAAAAATAAAAGACGACAACTTCTCAGATACAGATGCAACTTTATTCATACATAAAAAAAAAATCACACCTCAGGAATTCTTTTCTAAAAACAGTCTTTTAATTATAAAGTTCAAAATGAAAAGATTGAAAGGGGCAGTGTATAACTTTTAAATTTTGTACATACTCTAGTCACGGTTAAATATTTAAGCTGCAAAAAAATATACCTCTCCTATAATAGGAAATGCACGACCTTTTGTAACTGCAGACTAAAATGACATGATGGTGTCAAAAGCCAAAGTAAAAAAATTTAACAGTCTGAAGTAGAAGACTTGGTACTGATGTTACACGGGTACTATCCTAGCTACTTCCCCCATGTTGGCTATTCCTCTTAGGTACACAACTCAACAGAGACTTTTTTGTGAACAATACTTGTCATTGCCATGGAAAAAGTGAAGAGAAGTGATAAGGGCTCCTGTAAATAGTCTAAAAACTATCTCCCACGATCATACGTTTCTAAGTAATATATAATGTTAACATTATCCACCCTATATAAGAAACAAAAAGTGCCAAGATGTTTCAGGATCAAATAATTTATATGATAACTGTTAATCTATTCTGGAGCATGTAGGCCTCAGTACCATCTAAAGCCCAACCTTACTTCTAAAAAAAATCATTAATTCAAAGAACCATAAAATGTTCAAGTGATAAATGTCAAGTAGCTGCTACATCTGAACAAGATAAAAAATTCTTAGAAAACTGTAGCTTTTCTTTTCTTTCTCTTTTTTGGCATAGGGCTTAATTTATGATATTTTTCCCAATACAAAAAAATTTATTGGATGAGACAAGCCTTATTATGGGGGTAGCTACCACCTCTCACCTTTTGTCTCCCCTCCCAATTCCCCCACTCGCTAAAGCCATTTATTTACCAGTAATGATGTTATTGTTTGAAGCATCAAAATCTACCTGAGATGACAATTTAGACAGCTGAACACAATCATATAATTTCAGGGACAATGAACTTAAATGTCACCTTCACCAAACAGTAAAGAATGTTAAAATGTCTGCTCCCTTCTTTGAACTTAGTGTTGTTCTTTTTTCTTCTTCATTTTTAAGTTTCAAAAGAGGTCACAGCTCTACAAAATTTGGCCAAGAAGTACAGAAAATTAAAAAGTTCTTAGCAGAAAATGTCAACAATCCCAATTTTCTGCCAAATGGAGAGGAGAATTGATTTACCAGGCCTTTTGCGGCTTTGGAAGAGGGAAGGGAATAAAATGAAGACCACCTGTCCATCCTGTTCAGATAGCTGCTTTCTGCTTTTATTGTCAATGTTGTTATATTGGGTTTGGTCTCTCCATGGGGCAAAAACCTCTGGCTTGGCCTCACATTTCGTTAAAACTGTCCTCAGGGTGGCATGAGAGAGCATTAGACCTGAGGTACCATGTGAGGTGGCCACTCATGGAAAGTATTAATATTTTCTCCCTTTTGTTAAGGTCACAGACATTCCAAGGGTGATGGAAGAAATAGTAAATACATACTAGAGAAATATCCCTATCTACCTTCAGGTAAGGAAAGCAAAGCAAAAGTAAGTATCCAAATATGATACTTTTACATTAAAGATACCAAAACTTCTCAAAAATATATATTAGGAATTTACATAAGGATGAGGAATTAGAAAACATTTATTCCTTTCGTCAGGGAAAAAAATCATAACAAAATTAATGAAAGTAATAGATGCTCCTGTACAAAGTTTTGTGTTCAGAAAATACCATCCACTAAAAATGACATCTTTGATCAAAAGGTAGCTCTGTTCAATCTGCTTAGACTAGACTTTTCCAATTTGCTGAGGAGAAAAATTCATCTTACAAATAGTAACACTCTGAGTAGGTTACGGTTATGGAAGATCGTTGTACTTCTATGATCAGGAGAAAAATCTGTCACATAATTTGATTGAACAGTTTATTCAGTTTTCATGGAGCCTAGATGAGCTAGGACTCAGAATCTTTTTTCATTAAAACCGTGTGCTTCATCAAAACTAGAGCACAGAACTAGCAGAACGATTGGGACTAATCTGTAAGAAAATATAACTTCCAGAATTTGAATTTAAGCTTTAACTATTAAGAGTTTTGTTTAATATCTTAAGAGGCAGTGCTTAAAGCATCACAAACTTACAATACTACAATACTCCATCGGTGTTTTTTTTTTTTTAACATCTTTATTGGAGTATAATTGCTTTACAATGGTGTGTCAGTTTCTGCTGTATAACAAAGTGAATCAGCTATACATATACATATATCCCCATATCTCCTCCCTCTTGCGTCTCCCTCCCACCCTCCCTATCCCACCCCTCTGGGTGGTCACAGAGCACCGAGCTGATCTCCCTGTGCTATGCAGCTGCTTCCCACTAGCTATCTATTTTACATTTGGTAGTGTATATATGTCAATGCTACTCTCTCACTTCGTCCCAGCTTACATCAGGGTGGTTTTGATTAGTTTCCATTTCCATTTTTGTATTCAGGGATTATGAGTTTGATTTTTTTTTAAAGTTACTTATGAGTGATATAAAAGATCTGTCCCCAGTAAATTAGCTAAAGCATGTTAAATATAAATGAATCAAGTCAGATCATCCCAAAGCAGGTTAAAGACTTAGAAAGCTTTGGTGGAGATCACAGAGACCAGGTCTCAGACTTCACACTGGGAACGGTTAATGGTGTTCTCTTGTCCCTCAGATTGCCTTCCCTAGAAATACTTACTGAAGTTGGAAAAATCAAAATAGTTTTTCCTTAGCACATGAAATAATGCAGAGGTCCCTCTTTCTGACTTAGAAACAAACAAACCAAAAAATCCAAACCACAAATAAAAAGCCCTGATTGCCGCAACAAGCAAACTGATAACAAAATGGACAAAACCTCCATACCCTCTATTTTCAAGTAAGTGTTTTGTATTCACTGGCTGCAGTTTAGAGGGAAACCCAAACAATTTCAAATTCATGGATTCACCGTGAGGACCTGACACACTCACTCAGGGCAAGTTCATAATATCTGATGAGGGGGTCTTGAGCTGTGGGAGAGACTCAGTGGATGGTCCTAACCAGATCTTAACTGGGCACTTGTGAGACAGCACAAAAATTAGGGAGTGGCGGGGAGGGGGGGAATCCTCAAAAAAGTTATTTGAAGAAAAGCCCACATTTCCTCAGAAGCCAAAGACACATAAAATTCTACTCTACGTAAGACACACTGATTTCATGTTTCCACGTGACTTTAAAGGACGTGTGGTTTGTAAGACTAAAGCAATCCTCTAATCTTAAGAAACTCAAAATAAAGGAAGAAAGATGGACAGACAGAAAAAAAGAGTATTCTTCAACTCTTCTTCATTGCACAGGGAAATCCCCCTGAAGAAAAAATAAATTCAGTAAGTTAGTTGGAAAATATTTCTCACTTTAACCGTATCTTCCCTGAAAGTCACATTTTAATATTGATGTAGGTTTCATACAATTAAAAATCACAAAGATTTTAAGAAGCAACCTTAGCTTTTATGTAATCACCATTACGAACCCTTGTCAGTTCGGGCTATGTATGAGTGATGTAACGGTTTTGAACCTTAACTTACAGAGAACATTTCAAAAGCAATGAACATCTTTTGTGATCTTGTTTAACATAAAAAGACTGCTAGCAAAACTCATTCTTTTTTTTTTTTTTTTTAAACTCATTCTTTAATAAAGCATGCATATTTACCCAAGCGTCACACCACACTTTCCTTTGCCATGTCTCACAAATGAAAAGCTTTTATTTTAGCATTTTGAATAGTAATGCCCTGTTAGGTTATTATGAGGACAAGTCTACTTTCCCAGTATACAACATTTTTTATTCCACAAGGCTGAATTTTCAAACCTCACAGTTTACTTAGAAAATAAAGATCTGCAGGTTTATAATCTACTTTATTATAAAAGGAAATACATTTTTACACAGTTATATATAACAGTATTTAGAAAAGTTCAAATTTATCAGTATGAAAATATACCTCACTGAAATATACTTACTTATAAAAACATATTGCCTTTGCCATGTGAAAACCTGGTGTTTAGTTCCCTAGATTTCTTTATCAGGGCTTTTTTCTGAGCTTCATCAAACCGATGAACTTTGAGATCCGTATCACGGTTAAATGGTATTCTTTCTTGGGGCTTATTTTTATCTTCAGCAGCCTTATTCTTTAGTTTTTTCTGATGAATGTCCATAAGAGATTCTGGCCTTTTTGATTCCTGGGGAGAGCAAGAGAGTAGAAAGAAAAATCTTATATAGATCATTGACAGAATATAATCATGAAACAAAAGAATGAAGTAGTAATGGTAAACATGAAGGAGGGCTATTTACAAACCCAATAGGTTTTTCCAAATCTAAGACAGCATCTCTGAAGAAAATGTGTTATCAGAGGCAAATTCAATTAGACCAAAATGACGGTATCTACCAACTATATGCCACACGATAAAAAAAGAGCAAGACGGAGAGTAAACTAATGTTTAAATAACCATCATGAAAATCATTGTGTGATTAGTCAACATGAGTCTGAACCAAGAACACAGGTGAGAAAGAAGAGCAATTACTTTCTCATGTGGGAGCCCGGTTAAAGCTTCATGGATGGGCTGGTCCGTGAACCCTGAACGGGTGGAACTGAAGAGACGGGCACTGCCAGGCTGAAGCTAAAGCAAGTGCAAAGCAGAACAACCACGGCGCAGAGATGACAAGATCCAAGGCCGGTGCAGGAAAAGCTGGCATAGTCTGTGTGCCAAGAGAATTTTTGTCCTTTCAGCTTTATCTCCTTCATTTTCTTTCTTTTCAGCTGGGGTATGTGCTCACATTTTCTTTTTCTTTTCCTTTTTCTTAAATTGAAGTATAGCTGATTTACAACATATTAGTTTCACATTTTCAAATATATCTAGTAGGATGAGGTCTGAACAAAGTCAGCTGGTTTCGTAAATTGGAGATTCTTTACAGACCTTTCGGTTTTGGTTAAACTAAAAGACAGAAGAGCCCTGGATTGAAGAAGCAGGGAGTGGGATGCAGGAGTAGATGCAGGTAGTACAGACCAGCAGCCATCAAACTGTGATATATGTATCCCTGGGGGCCACACGGAGTGGATTCCATGGGGTATGAAGGCATAGAGAATTTCAACGTTACCTACTCATGATTCTCAACTTCTTAGCCTCACTTAAAGCTGACTTGCCTGGTAATGCATCTCGTGAGGATGTCTCCCCTTTCATTATAGCCCTTTCCCATTTAACAAAGGAGAGGCCTTTCAGAATCTTATTACGGAATGTTGTCTTGGACAGCAAGTCTCCAGAGCAACAAATAAAAAACCTGAAATACTGTATGAATGATCTTCTAATCAAGGAACTGTAAACCCAGGAGGCTTTGTGTCCTTTTGTGTCTCAAACATATTTCTCTTAAGAGCGTAATGTCCTTTCGGAATGGGTAGTTTGGCTCTTGTTGGAATGTTCTGAATTCAGATATACTGCAGAATGGGGCAATGAAAGAAAAGACAACTTTTGCTTAACAACCACATCTCTTCCAGGCCCTGCCTCCTGTCAGAGAATATATTTGAGAGCAAAGACATGAGGAGAGCTCAGTAAAAGCAAAATAACTGGTAAGAAACGATGAAGGTGGCAGCTTCTTATTTTATCAGAAGACAAACTCATGGCACCTACCCACCTACGTTACAATTCAGAAGTGTCATAGGAATGATCATAATCACATCTATTTGAACAGAGAAATGGAGTCAGACTTTCTCACAGAAAGTCAGTCTCAATCACCTGTCTGATTTGACAATGAGATCTGACTTTATCAGTTAAGTTATGTGGTTGCTATTTCCTATACGTTGAGCTCTATCTGGATGCTGAATTAGTAAATATTTATTTGAATTAGCACTATTTCCATGTTCTCAATCCCTCTCATTTCATAAATTGGTCATTTCATAAATCTTGGTGAAGTCTTTAGGAAACAAATTGATTTGCAAGTTAAGTGCTTTCGAATTCTTTATTTTTAATGAAAACTGGAGGTGAAAAAAAATCAAATGTTGCTAAGAAAAAATAACCTATCAATACACATAGCAGGGAGAAACAGTTTAGAACTAAATTTCTGCATTTGGAAGAATCTGGTTAGCAATGATGGTGCTGACATTTTCAACACTGGTGACCTTAGGCAAGTTATTTAAGCCTCAATTTCTCAGCTGTAAGATAATAAATCATAATAGTAATAATGTCTAAATAGTTGGATGAGGTAGGAGTTAAGTAATCTAATGAATACAAAGGATTTAGTAGTGTGGCGGGGTTCATAAGAATCAGTCAAGGGACTTCCCTGGTGGAGCAGTGGTTAAGAATCCGCCTGCCAATGCAGGGGACATGGGTTTGAGCCCTGGTCCGGGAAGATCCCACATGCCGTGGAGCAACTAAACACGTGAGCCACAACTATTGAGCCTGCGCTCCAGAGCCCGCGAGCCACAACTACTAAGCCTGTGCACCTAAAGCCCGTGCTCCGCAACAAGAGAAGCCACCTCAATGAGGAGCCTGCGCACTGCTTTGAAGAGTAGCCCCCACTCACTGCAACTAGAGAAAGCCTGCGCGCAGCAACAAAGACCCAACGCAGCCAAAAAAAAAAAAGAATCAGTCAAGACATGTTAAGTATTCAATTTACTTAGCACATACTACATTGTAATCTTCACAGTATCTCTATAAATTAAATGTTATTATTCCCATTATACAGATTTGGAAAGTGAGAATGAGAAAATAAGCCCTGTTCAGGAGGGCTGGAGAGTCAGGGCACTATAGCCCTTCCTCACTCTCTTTACTCTGTCCCTCAGTATCCAGTAGGGTGGCAATGCTGCCAGCTTGTGACCTTTGGAGAAAAGATGGAAAACGGTCCTCAGCTGAGGAGTTATTAAATGTCTAGCCGTTCTGAATGCAAAAAAAAAAAGACCAATGTGAAAAAAAATCAAAGTTGAGAGAGAGTTGACAGTTGAGAGATCATTAATAATAATTTTTTGTTAATAGATCATTATAAGGTTTAAGTAAGTAACAAAAATCACACCAAAAGCCAATTCATGTAGAGATCAATTTGCTAAATGACTGGTTTGCTGATTCACCAAATTTAATCATTTAACAAAAATGTGTAGGTTTTATATTAATTTGCAAAAAGCCAGGGCAATTTATTTTGAATGGGCGAGTTTTTCAGCAGTTTTTGAAAATTCATGCTAAGATTCTAGTTGTTTGGTTTTTATTTTGCCTTCATGGTAATATTTTAAAGAGTGTTCAATTTATCAATACTAAGAGTTATAAGGTGGTTTAGTCTTAAGACTATATTAATATTTTGAAAACTATATCTCATAAGTAACCAAAATTTCAGCATAAGATTAGAACGCTAATTTTTTGGATGTGTTTTAAAATAAATTGCAGACACTGTTACATGTATCCCTAGTATTTCAGCATGATTTCACTAACCAGAGTTCAATATTTGTTTACAATTTTTTCTTTTAAAGTAAACTTACGTACAATGAAATGCACAGATCTTAATACTACATTCACTGAGTTTTACAATTCAAACTCCTAGCAATTTCTGGAACATATTTCTATCACCTCAGAAAGCTCTGTATGCCCCTCCCTAGTCCGTCTCCACAACCCCACTCCAACAACAAGTATTCTGGTTTTTTTCCAACCATAGATTCATTTTGCTTATTGTAGAGCTTCATATAAATGGAATCATACAGTAGTACTTGGGTAGGAAGTCTTGTGTAAGACTCCCTTCGCTCAGCATAATGTCTTTGAGATTAATCCACGTTGTTGCATTTATTTGTAATTTGTTCCTTTTTACTGCCGAGTAGTATTTTACTATGAACACAGTTTGGCTTTTTCTTTCTCTTACTGATGGACAGCTGGGTTGCTTGAAGTATTTAGCTATTATGAATAAAGCTTCTGTGAACATTCCTGTATAAGTCTTTTTGAACTATTATGAGTGAAGCACGCTCGAGTCTGCGAAAACATGTTTTCATCTGTCTTACATAAACACCCAGGGGTGGAGTTGCAGGGTCATAGGGTAGGTGTTCGTTTAGTTTTATAAGAAATGCCTGTTTGGAAAAAGGCCCAGCTTGTTAATTTTCAGCTATTCTTCCTTTCTAACATAACTCATTACAGCTATAAATTTTGCCTCTAAGTGCCACTTTATATTACATCTCACACATTTTGATATGTTGTACTGAATATTTTTTTATCATTCAGGTTTAGGTATTCCATCATCATGTCTTCTTTGATGTAAAGTTTAAATTTTGAATTTTCTAATTTCCAGTTGTGTAGGGCTTTTAAGTTATTCTGAAGTTTAATTTAAATTCTTTGTGGTGCCTGAATGATGGTGATTCTTTCAATTTTGTTGAGACTTGACTTTGGGCTGGTCAGTTTTCAAAGATGTTCCATTTGGGTTGGGTTTCTGGTCAGTTTCCAACTATGCTTCATGTATGCTTCACTGTTTGTGGTACTGGTCTATATATGCCCAATGAATCATGCTAACTATATTTTTAATGCTCATGGAAATTTTCATGAACTAATACACTAGGAACAGAAGGTAATTTTCCTGAATACCTTTCAGGGACCAAAGGGTTCAATGGTTTACATTTATTCTTTGAGCTGGAACACTAGTGGTTTTTTTGTTTTTGTTTTTTTTATGAGTAAGAGACTATTACAAAATAATAATATGCCCAATGAATACTGACTGTTTAGTTTACAAATTTAAATTGAACCATATTTAAATTTTTATATTTATATAGATTTATATTTTTCTCCCATATTTAAATCATTACATCAAACATTCCAAATCAGCTTACAATTTAAAATGTATGAATTGGGCTCTCTAGGAGTTAGTAGGGCTCTTACTTTATAATCATGTGCTACCCATCTTTAGGAACTGAATTTCTGACATATGACTTAAGTAAAAAGTGAACTGAAAATGTTATGAGATGCATTAAAAAAGCCTATACTAAAGGACTACACACACACACACACATATACACATACACACAAGAGTATTTTTCAGAACAGATGTATAGAAAAAGACTGAGATGAAAAGGAAGACTAAGAAAGAGAAACAAGAAAAAGAGAAAAAATGAGAAGAGCATTAAAAGATGGGAAAAAATGAAAGGCCATATATTTTATCCCCTAACTTACATTGTATGCGGATACCTGCTCGGCCAATCTCTTTTCCATTCCTGTCAATATATGTTCTTCATCCTTCTTATTGAATGACTTTCTTGCTTCTGGTGTCTCCTGAGGAACGAACACAGAAAACACATTACTAAACCATATAATTAAGAGAAAATAAAAAAGAAATACTATTATTTTAACTCAGATTGAATAATAGGAGACTAAACGAAGCCAGGCCCATTGAATCCCTTCCCACTAGAAATGTCAATATACTTGATAAGGGATCTGTTAGTGTCCTACTCTAACATTTACCTGAAAACAAGAAAAAACCCCCAAAAACCTCTAACCAATCAACTAAATGGATTTTATCAAACTCAGAGATGAGAATGACAAACAATAATGAAATGTAGAAGAGAAAATAAGGCTTAAAAAGAAATCTTATATTATCTGTTTTCAAAGCTAGGAAAAGCACTCTTGAGGGAAAAAAAATAAAAAGAAATAAATGGGGTACAGAAAAAATAAAAATAAAACTATCTTTATTCACAGAGGACATGACTGGCAATGTAGAAAATGCCAAAGAATCTATTAAAAAACTCTTGGCATTAGTAAGCATAAGTGTAGCAAAGCTGCAGGATGCTAGGTCAACATACAAAATATACCAGCAATGAACAATTGCAATTTGAAATTTAAAAAGAAATACCATTTACCATAGCACACACACACACAAGTGAAATACTTAGGTAAATTTCTAATAAATTTTAGTTAGGAAAAAAAAAGTATTCTGGAGAATATAGTCCCAGCCAGGAAAGAAGAAGGCCCATATAAAATCAACTGAAAACCACTTTCCACAAAGCATGTTTTTATACTGTTGCTGTTTGCTTAAGAAAGCCAAGGAGGTCCCCACACCATTTTTACCTTAATGATGGACTAAAACAACATTGTACTTAATAAATAAAGTATGTTAAAAAACATACGAGTAGCTCATTTCTTCTTTTTTCATAAAAATTTCCCCAGAAAGATTCTTTTACTTGTAAATATTAGGAGAAAAAAATGATGTTCTGGTAAGACGGAGGTGAAAACCTGACCAGTTAAGAGTTAGTAAATCTAGTCAAGACTGGGAAAAGAGAACATAACAGATCTTATTCAATTAATTTATGCATAACACTGCCATTTCTTTCTAAAAAGCAATCTTACTTCATTTGGGCATGTTGGTTAAGTGAATGTGCAAACATTAGTGGTATGAGAGATGAATGCTGGGGAATCAAATATAAAAAAGTAAGATGAAGTGGTGGAGAAAATCTACAGAAAGGTAATTTGGAGAGAGATAAAAAAGGAAGCTTGACTAAGATCTGTTACAGAAATCAAAAATTAGTCATGACCTGTATATAGGACAGCTCTGTGACACTATATAATTTGTGCCACAAATATAAGTCTGTGGTATTATATGCTGTAATACAGTGTCACATAAAATTTAAGGGGTATTAGTCATCCCTTTGGGAGCCTGTTGTAAACACAGAACAAAACACTTTCAGCCCTGAAAAGAATGACTAGATCTAAAGAACTCAGTCATAGGGCCTAAAATCACCTGAGTTCAAACTGGCTAGTTTCTGTTTGTTCCGTTTTTCTGTGGTATTTTTCTTTGAGGAAGACTCCCTGCATATCTGGCTGTAGGCTAGACATCTACTCACATACAATGAGGAACACAAGGACTGAAAAAAGCACAAATAAAAAGTCCACGTAAGCAAGGGGATTAAATGTCTTTTTGGAGACAATCTTAAAGGCTAAATTATAAAAAACGTCAGTATGTTATTTTTATAGAAGACCAGTTAAGAAAGAGCAGACAGGCGTTCCAACACTAGTCATTCACGGTGTGTGGCTCGCTTCTATACCGTATCTTCTGTTGTCTCTTCTGCCCTCAGGTGTGTTGGTTCACCTCACCTTTCTGTTACAACTCTCAGATTTCCTTGAATCCTCCGGGCAAAGGAGAACTTATGATTTTGCCGCATATTCTGCTAAAATGTGGAGATTGCCACATATCATCCACATGTTAAGAATGACACTATTTCACAACCAATTCTCCACTAAAATGAAAGCGCCATAAGGAGCTTTTTCTATTACCTGTGACCAAACAGAATACCTGGCAGAGGAGATATTCAATTTACAGTTATAGAATGAAGATGGAAATCCTCATAATTCTAGGTACTGATGAACAAGATAAACAGAGTTAGGGGCGTGAATTTAAGTCAGAACTGATAAAGCTGTAATCATAAGGTGCCAATTAGTCAAGCATTTAAGATTGGAATGGGACATCTCAAGGAAACTGAAACTTTGGGATGGAGTGAATTTAAGGAGTTAGTGCTGAGGACACTGGTTGGACCCCTAACTTACAATGGAATATTTCATAATAAATGGAGAGGTCCAAGAAAAGAAAATCCGACAATAATATTTTATGCATACTTTTGCGGGTATTTTTAAATTAAATTATTCAATATATTAATGAAAGGGCTCTTTGCCTATCTTTACAGTAATATGAAGTTTACTGCACTTGAGCTACTGTTATTTTCAGAGGTAGTCCCTGTGTATCACTTAACTTGCTAGGTTAATCTGTGCCTTGGCTTGTTCAAGACATTTTAAAAGAAATTTTCATGGATAGTGTGATGTATAAAGACCAGGGGATCTGGAGTCAGAAAGGTCTAGAAGGGAATTACTGTTCATGACTTACCAGCATTTAATTCCAGAAAAGGTGACCTCATAGAGGATAGTGTCTCCCTTCATAGAATGAGGTCAGTAAACCTATGTCTCCAGGTTCTCTTGAGATTTAGATGAGACAATTTATTGGGAAATAGTAAGTAAATACACAGGAAGCAACTGGCCTCACTTTCTTTTAACTTTCCTTCAGGGGAAATCTTTTCCCTTTGGAATCATAATTTTAAAAACAGTACTCTTAAATAATTCTGCCTCCTATTTTTTCAAAATAGAGTCAACAAGGACAAAAATACAGGAACAAACAAACCCTCTTACCTTAGCTTTCCTTTCCCTGTCAGCTGGCATATCTGTCCAGACTGATCGATCTCCAGATTTGTCATCAGCTCTTCTCTTGAAAGTTCTAGGCCCAAGACCAAAGTTTTTCAGCTCCGGAGGAAGCTCAGTCATCCAAGAGTCTCTTATAACTGTTTTAGATGAATCCTTTAAGAGAAATAAAAAGTAAAATAAAAAAAAGTAGCCTTGGAAAATGTGTATATGTGTGCGTGTGTGCACACGTATGTGTGTATATGTGTAGAATACTGTATAAGTGACTATGTGTCTCAACTGAGGCTTGAAAGTTATTTAACAGACTTTAAGAGAAAGGATTTAATAGACTATTTTTTTTGGTCATATATGTTATGAATACTTTTATCTAATTTATTGTTCCTTTGACTTAATGTTATCTTTTGTCATACAGAAATTTTTAAGTAGGCAAAATTTCTACTCTTTTCCTTTTATAGCTTCTGAATTACCTAGAGCCTAAATTTTTATACACTTACATATGTACATATACATTTTTTTAATGTTCATTTTTAAAATTGAGATTTTTTAATATATTTGGTCAATTTCTCAGAGAAAAGTGTACTATGTATTTAAAACTTACATCGTCTCCTTTAGTCAGTTTTTCTTTCATTCTCTGGGCCCTTTTTTCAAACTCTGTCGTAACACTAGAGTTAACTGGTCCTTTGGCAGGCATTGGCCCAATAATGTCCTCCTCTTCACTGCTACCTGTCTTCTTCTGAAATAAGAAAATGATCCTAAATTACTTAAAATTTAACTGTGACTGATAACCTAGAAACAGAACAAAAAGCAAACACTGTGTTGCTGGCTAATCACTGAGCACCTTTCCTGTGCCTTCCTCAAGTGCACCATACAAAAATGACAAATCCAGGGGCTGTGGACTGTCTCACCTCTTCCCTATGTCCACGGCAGAGCTCATTAACTCATCTCAGTCCTCTTCCTGATGGACATAGATGTGGCCTCACAATTTCTCTGTAATATTCCAGAGAATTATTAATGATTCATCAGAGATGACACAAGTTGAAACCATTTTCTTTCCTGGTACAGAAAGAGCTCTTTGGAATAAGATGCACACAAATAAGACATTCTTGGAAGCTGTATCAGCCTTCATGATTTAGTACAGTCCACTGAAACAGAAATGCTGTGCAAAGCCTTACAAAATACTGGCCCGAACGAGTTAATTTGGTTCCCAAAGTATTTCTCTCATTACCCCAAAGACACAATAGTAATCCAATAATTGAATTCAAGTAGTTCTTAGTAAATCATTTTTTTAAGTTAACTTTCTTAAAGAACAGTGATTTTAATTTTTTTTTTTGGCTGTGTTGGGTCTTCAATGCTGTGTGTGGGCTTTCTCTAGTTGTAGCTAGTGGGGGCTACTCCTCGTTGCGGTGTGTGGGCTTCTCATGGAGGTGGATTCTCCTGTTGCGAAACACGGGCTCTAGGCGTGTGGGCTTCAGTAGTTGCAGCACATGGGCTCAGTAGTTGCGGTGCACACGGGTTCTAGAATGCAGGCGCAGTAGTTGTGGCATATGGGCTTAGCTGCTCTGTGGCATGTGGGATCTTCCTGGACCAGGGCTCGAACCCACGTCCCCTGCATTGGCAGGCGGATTCTTAACCACTGAGCCACCAGGGAAGTCCCATTAGTAAATCATTTTATTAAAGGGTTTTCATGTAAGACTGTGTTAGATGCTATATGCACTTGGGTTTAAAACAGTCCTTGTCAGACACAAAAGGCCCCTAATAGCCAAAGCAGTCTTGAGGGAAAAAAACGGAGCTGGAGGAATCAGACTCCCTGACTTCAGACTATACAAAAAAGCTACAGTAATCAAGACAATATGGTACTGGCACAGAAACAGAAACATAGAACAAGATAGAAAGCCCAGAGATAAACCCACGCACCTATGGTCAACTAATCTATGACAAAGGAGGCAAGGATATACAATGGAGAAAAGACAGCCTCTTCAATAAGTGGTGCTGGGAAAACTGGACAGCTACATGTAAAAGAATGAAATTAGAACACTCTCTAACACCATACACAAAAATAAACTCAAAATGGATTAGAGACCTAAATGAAAGACTGGACACTATAAAACTCATAGAGGAAAACACAGGAAGAACACTCTTTGATACAAATCACAGCAAGATCTTTTTTGAGCCACCTCCTAGAGTCATGGAAATAAAAACAAAAATAAACAAATGGGACCTAATGAAACTTCAAAGCTTTTGCGCAGCAAAGGAAACCATAAACAAGACGAAAAGACAACCCTCAGAATGGGGGAAAATATTTGCAAATGAATCAACGGACAAAGGATTAATCTCCAAAATATATAAACAGCTCATGCAGCTCATATTTAAAAAACAAACGACCCAATCCAAAAATGGGGAGAAGACCTAAATAGAAGAAGACCTAAATAGCCCCTTCTTTCTCCAAAGAAGACATACAGATGGCCAAGAAGCACACGAAAAGCTGCTCAGCATCACTAATTATTAGAGAAATGCAAATCAAAACTACAATGAGGGATCACCTCATACCAGTTAGAATGGGCATCATCAGAAAATCTACAAACAACAAATGCTGGAGAGGGTGTGGAGAAAAGGGAACCCTCTTGCACTGTTGGTGGGAATGTAAATTGATACAGCCACTATGGAGAACAGTATGGAGGTTCCTTAAAAAACTAAAAATAGAATTACCATATGACCCAGCAATCCCACTACCGGGCATATACCCAGAGACAACCATAATTCAAAAAGACACATGCATCCCAATGTCCATTGCAGCACTATTTACAATAGCCAGGTCATGGAAGCAACCTAAATGCCCATCGACAGACGAATGGATAAAGAAGATGTGGTACATATATACAATGGAATATTACTCAGCCATAAAAAGGAACGAAATTGGGTCATTTGTAGAGACGTGGCTGGATCTAAAGACTGTCATACAGAGTGAAGTAAGTCAGAAAGAGAAAAACAAATACCATATGCTAACACATATATAGGGAATCTAAAAAAAAAAAAGGTTCTGAAGAACCTAGGGGCAGGACAGGAATAAAGATGGAGACGTAAAGAATGGACTTGAGGACACAGGGACGGGGAAGGGTAAGCTGGGACGAAGTGAGAGAGTGGCATGGACATATATATACTACCAACTGTAAAACAGATGGTGGGAAGCAGCCGCATAGCACAGGGAGACGAGCTCGGTGCTTTGTGACCACCTAGAGGGGTGGGATAGGGAGGGTGGGAGGGAGACGCAAGAGGGAGGAGATATGGGGATATATGTATATGTATAGCTGATTCACTTTGTTATAAAGCAGAAACTAACACACCACTGTAAAGCAATTATACTCCAATAAAGGTGTTAAAAATACAAATAACTCAATTTCATTTCCTCACTACAAATAACTCAATTTCATTTCTTTTTATGGCTGAGTAATATTCCATTGTATATATGTGCCACACTCACTACAAATAACTCACTACACCTCACTACAAATAACTCAAATTCATTTCTTTTTATGGCTGAGTAATATTCCATTGTATATATGTGCCACATCTTCTTTATCCATTCATCTGTCGATGGACACGTAGGTTGCTTCCATGTCCTGGCTATTTACAATAGCCAGGACATGGA